TTATGTTTGGATGTTCAAAGGGAGAGTTGTTAAACAGATTACATAATCATGTTTTACTTGCATTTATGCAAGAAGAACCAGTCATTATCGTGCAATTCAGTGAATGTGCAGTAGTAATCTTGTAACCTTGTAATTTCCTTCTGCTTGGTTATTTCCTTATTGGGCGGATGCTGCACATAATTGAAGTGGTTCGGCTTTAATAATACAGTCTTTAGTCCTTGGTGTCATTGTTAATACTTTACCTTACACTTGATATTTAAAAAAAAAAGTTACTATTAAACAGGGCTGCCATAAAGCAATTACATAGCATAATTTCGTGAACTGAAAAGATTCACGATTTATAACTTTTATCAGCACAAAATCCTTTTTCCAGTACCAAATGTCTCAAAGGAAGTTCTCTTGTTGACAGAGGGTCACTTGCCTTTGTGATATTGCTGCGCATATTCATCTTGCACATGTTATTACATTGAGTAGATATATATTTTTTTAAGGGAAAAGGTGTATATTCACAGAGCACCAAGCGGATGCAACCTGTATACAAATGTTTACATTTATAACAAAATGTCTATTAGGCCCCTCTAAATCCTCGATTGAAAAAAGTGGTTAACTTTTAGGGCCTGGAGCCAAGAGTCGATAAGATTTATCAAAATAAGTTTCTATATCCTCAAAAAGTAGCCAAAGAGATAAACCTATGGACTGCTTGTGACTCTGAATGCCTCTCCATGCCCACAGCTTGTCTCTCACAGTTCCTGCACTAATCCAACTCAAACCCAACAACCTATAGGCTAAAGAGCATAATTGAGTAAGTAAAAAACTTTGGTTATGTGACTTTGAAATATCTCTTTATCTTTGCGTTATCTGGAGTTTGAACCATGTAACGTTTATTTATTTGATCCCGAATGCCTGTGTATAATGACTTAATATAAAAATGCAGGCTTTGCTTTTCTTGTTAGCCCTTATGGTTAGGGCAGCAAATAAACCCGCAGACTATGACAGTGATGATGAATTTATTGCTCCAAGGCAACAAGTCAGGCAGCCTTTGCTCAACAGACCAGCAGGTCCTGCTACAGGGGTACCTGTTGCTGGTGCTATTGATCAGCGCCCAAGCAGAAATGATGCATGGAGTACACGTATGAGGGAGAAGGTGATTTATTGTAGCATAACTTTTATTTGGAATTTGGCTCACTTTGCTGTGGTTATTTTG